CACAATACACACACTGTCACAGATACGTGACACTTTCAACTCAGGAACGTCGAAAACTAGAAAGCTAAAATTTTTGAATTTTCCTCGTATACGTATGATCTCGCAAATTTAATTTCATCCTTCACTGCAGCTGGGTACCACATACTACTCCGTAAAAATTTTGATGGGGAAAATTATTATCTCGGGAAGCACAGATGCTGGGATGCTGAAATTTCAGGGTAATGCCTGCTACCCACATGCGATACGGGAAGTTTAAATTCCATCCTTCTTTTTTGCTTGGGACCACGTGTGACCCTGTGGAAATTCCGGCGAGAAAATTATTGTCTCGGGGGCGAGAAGAGCTGTGACGCTGAAAACCTAGGAAAATATTTTCTACCTATGCATAGCCAAAAAAGCTCAAATTTAGCTCGCAAGTATGATGACAGCTCAAGTACGGCCATTTGAAAATTTCGGCGCAAAAATTGCTCGAGAGCTAGAGAACTAGGAGATTGAAATTTTGGAGTGATATTCACTCTCCAAGGTTTCGAATTCAGCTTTCACGTGCATTTGCGCTTCACTTACTCGTACATCAAATTTGTGATGGAGAATTTTACAGTTTAGGAATCGTCAAAGTGTAAAACTGTGAAAACCTTTAGCAGGCAAGCGTCGGCTAGACGGAACTAAGCAAAACTCATGTTCGCACTGACTACCCTGGTGCGCGCCGCTGTTTATTTGAATTGCATAAGAAGTCCATTTTTAGGACATGTCAAACTTGGCCCCACTTGATGCCATCCCTTCTGGTATTTTGCTGGCGTGATACATAATATCAGCTTTTTCGGTCGAATAAATTTCATTTTCTACCTCTCGAAAAGTTCAGTTTTTTGTTTAAATTCGCATGTTTTGGAAGGCTTCGAGCAACACGGTGATAGGCTGCCAGTAACAATGATACTAAACTGCGCTTCCGATACCATCCATACAACCGTTGTCCAGAAAAATTTCTTCTCAGAATCAACAATTGTCAGATTTCATCTATAATTATACAACTAATGCCAAAGTAATACTGCCGTTTATCAGTGATGAGAGTGACCATTTTCCCATCACATTTTTCCTCACAAAACAACTGACTATTATATAGCCAGAAATCCGGGGGTGAAGCAGTGTGCCTTCCTGTTTCCTTTCGGACTTTTGTTATGCATTTTGTGCTGCGTA